GGCTTGCCTTTCTCCCATAATGTCCATGCGTTGATGGTAGATCTACATTGCTTTCTATTATTAGATACCGAATACTTTTCGTACGATATTGGATTCATCCGCTGCTTATTTACTTTTATGACTACGTAACTGTGTGCAGCAGTTTAAAGATAAAATTTAGTATATGACGCCCTCACTGTCCTTGCATTTTCCCGCAATAAAAGCCCTTCAGACCTTCCTCGTTTCCAAAACCATTTTATACTTTTTCATACTAAATATAAACTGTCCATTTTTACCGAAAATTGGAAGGTCGTATATTTTTCGTAAGTAGGCTGTGGAGCTAGATCTACATGCGGAAACTATTAACGTGTGCGGTTCTCTCTCCATGCGCAAACCACCATCTAGCTAATTAAGTTCAAGTCCGTTTACGACAGAAAACCTTTTAATTTTGTTTATCTCCGGTTTAGGGTGTTAGCGTTTAATAATGAAAGTAAAGTGTGTGAAGTATCACGTTCAGAAACTATTCTATTGTTGGCGTACTTTGGCTAATTCAAGGGCAATAACTTCGTAAATAATTGTTGAATCTCTTTTAAATCGAACCCATTGAAGTTACTTAGAATATATAGCAACATACAGTTTGGTAGCAAATGTAGAATATGTCGCGTTCACTGACCTATTTTGGTTAAGTCAAGGGCAATAACTTCGTAACTAATATATGAATTTCGTTGATATTCCGAATTATCAGATACGTCATTATTTAAGAGAGATGAGCTTATCTAAAAAAAAAAAAAAAAAAAATTTCATCTTTCTATGACACTAAACCAATGACAACAACAAAATATGGACAATTTGAACAATTAGTAGGATTTATTCAAATTCTCTAATAGTAGCGTGTGTGTTGATTTCAAACATTTAACAGTTTTATTTATTTGTTTAGTGGGTTATCTGTTTTTTTAAATTTGATTTTCGTTGATATTCCGAATTATCAGAGAGATGAGTTTATCTAAAAAAAAAAAAAAAAAAATTTCATCTTTCTATGACACTAAACCAATGACAACAACAAAAGATGGACAATTTGAACAATTAGTAGGATTTTTTTGTTTAGTGGGTTATCTTTTTTTTTGAAATTTGATTTAAAGATCATTGAAAATGTTCATCAGAATACTAAATAAAAATGAATCTTATAAAGGAACTGTGTTTAATGCAATTAATTTATTAAACGAATAGTGAGAGTTGACATTGTGAATAGTCAATGCAACAATACAATAATAGCCCGTAAAAAAAATCGAAAGACGAAAAGATATCGATTGCGTATTCATCAAGATTCGTTTCCTTACGCCGTATATCCCCTGGTCTAATTACACGGTTACATCAATGTTGTTTTTAGTAATCCTGGCCCCTGTTTCTCGAAATCTTAACTAAAGATAAAATCCATGGGCCTGTTTCACGAAATCTTAACTAAAGATAAAATCCAAATTTTAGTAGATACTTCAATTTTGATTGGCTAAGCACTAAAATCAATCTAATATTATCATGGACCTTATATAAGTTCCATGATATTATCCAATCATATTACTAAAATTTGGATTTTATCTTAGTTAAAATTTCGTGAAACAGGACCTAGATTTTAGTAGATACTTCAATTTTGATTGGCTAAGCACTAAAATCAATCTAATATTAACCAATCAAATTACTAAAATTTGGATTTGATCTCAGTTAAAATTTCGTGAAACAGGCCCCTGGCCTTGCTTTAACAATTAGTTTCCCCGAAGGTTTTTGTTTCGTTTTTAATTCGACGTTTGTCATCAATACCATTGTCATTTGTTTGATTTAATATGTATTTTGTTGTGTTTACGAGTGATGGTTTAGTTGCTAGCAAGATTAGGAAATCCGATCTATCATTGTATGAACCCATTCATTACTTGTATTGTTTTCACAATCCCATGGTATTTAGGCCTACACGACACGAAGAAAACAATGCAACACCTTCGATACAACAATATTGTTTTATTTACTTGAAAACTCTAAAAAAGGAAAAGAATTGAGGTATAAAGTCATACTTTTCTGCACCAACCGGTGGTGTAGTATACAGTAAATATTAAAGACGCAATGCGTCAGTAGGTCAATCAATAAGCATTTTCTTTACTTAAAGTAGCCAAGTCTCTAACTCAATATCATCCAAAATCTTCGACATTCAAAACGCAAATTATTTGCCAATTTAAATCAACATTGATGCTGTGATCTTACCGGGAAAAGATGGGCTTCTGATATCCAATATTTAAAACAAAATAAACACTTTACCATTGGTACACGAATCGTGTACCATAATGCGTTTCAACGCCATTTGTAACAAGGGGCTAGAAAAACGAGGCTAGGCATATTCAACAAGTCATGTCAAACGGTGACGTCATATTCTTATCTGGAGAGCATGCGCAATAAATACGATCGGTGTAGACTGGACTAACCAGACGCCAGAGATTGCCATTCGATTGAGACTTCTGGCGAATTTCCCCGAACATAACTGATAAGAAATTAAGAGTAAAAACAGAAACTATTGAATGTAAATCAGTTATATACCTTCATAATACATTATTATACGCGTTACGAACCATTTGTGTCAATTTCTAGGTCTCAAATATTAGCGATTTAGCTCCTTTAAAGAAACATTATGGGAGAACAGATAAAGAGTTGACTTTTCTCTCTATAATAGTTAAAAAAATAGATAATCTAATTAGAAGATGCTCCACTATAAACTGAGATATTAGCTTTTGAATTTTAAGCCTAGCCTCGATCATCGTTAATGTCAGAATGATAAAAAAAACATAGTCTCGATTATCCATTTTTGGATTTAATCATCAATGAACGTTGAGCAGCAGATTGAATTCCAATCCAGTGAAAACCCGACACATAAGATAACATGAGAGTTGGTTATGGTATGGATAAGTTAATTAATGTCCAATTAACAATTATATATAACATTTCAGACCTAAAGAAGACCTGCAATAGGCAGATTTAGCTCTTGCATAATGTATGTCTAAATTTAGTCAAACCAGCGGCTGCCAGACAGGATACGCCCACATTTTCGAGAGATGGATAGAGAACAAGCTAAAAAGAAAGTGATTTTTCCTACAATCAGGGGCCATAATTCAGGAAGTTACGGTCGGATATGCGCGAATATCGAAAGGAACCGGGATCTTTGGGTTATAAACTTACATTTCAAGTTTCAACAAAATCGGATAAAAATTGTGACCTCATATTTTTAAGGCTATTTGAGAACGAACAGCGACCATTTTGTCTGTCAATTTTGGGCCGATTTTCACGAAATTCGAACTCAGACGTCCTTAGAGTGTAACGGTGATATAATAATATGTTTTTTTTTTAAATCGGATAAAAATTATGACCTCTATAGGGTCCACAAGCTAAAAACGCGATTTTCGTACAATCAGGGGCCATAATTCAGGAAGTTGCGGTCCGATATGCGCGAATATCGAAAGGAACCAAAATCTTTGGGTTATAAATTTACATTTCAAGTTTCAACCAAAGCGGATTAAAATTGTAACCTCTATAGGGTCCACCCACAACCTTGATATACCATATTTTAACGCTATTTGAGAATGAAGGGCGGCCATTTTGTCTGTCAGTTTTGGGTAGATTTGCACGAAATTCGAACTCAGCCGTCCTTAGGATGTAACGGTGATATAATAATACGTTTTTTTTTAAATCGGATAAAAATTATGACCTCTAAAAATTATGACCTCTATAGGGTCCACAAGCTAAAAACGCGATTTTTCTTACAATCAGGGGCCATAATTCAGGAAGTTACGGTCCGATATGCGCGAATATCGAAAGGAACCGAAATCTTTGGGTTATAAACTTACATTTCAAGTTTCAACAAAATCGGATTAAAATTGTGACCTCTATAGGGTCCACAACCTTGATATACCATATTTTAACGCTATTTGAGAATGAAGGGCGGCCATTTTGTCTGTCAGTTTTGGGTCGATTTGCACGAAATTCGAACTCAGCCGTCCTTAGGATGTAACGGTGATATAATAATACGTTTTTTTTTAAATCGGATAAAAATTAAGACCTCTATAGGGTCCACAAGCTAAAAACGCGATTTTTCGTACAATCAGGGGCCATAATTCAGGAAGTTACGGTCCGATATGCGCGAATATCGAAAGGAACCGAAATCTTTGGGTTATAAACTTACATTTCAAGTTTCAACAAAATCGGATTAAAATTGTGACCTCTATAGGGTCCACAACCTTGATATACCATATTTTAACGCTATTTGAGAATGAAGGGCGGCCATTTTGTCTGTCAATTTTGGTCTGATTTTCACGAAATTCGAACTCAGTCGTCCTTAGGGTGTAACGGTGATATAATAATACGGTTTTTTTTTAAATCGGATAAAAATTATGACCTCTATAGGGTCCACAAGCTAAAAACGCAATTTTTCGTACAATCAGGGGCCATAATTCAGGAAGTTACGGTGCGATATGCGCGAATATCGAAAGGAACCGAGATCTTTGGGTTATAAACTTACATTTCAAGTTTCAACAAAATCGGATGAAAATTGTGACTTCTATAGGGTCCACAAGCTAAAAACGTGATTTTTCGTACAAACAGGGGCCATAATCCATGAAGTTTCGAACCGATAGATGCCTATATCGAAAGCAGCCGAGATCTTTTGGAGATAAACCTATATTTCAAGTTTCGTCAAAATCGGATAAGAATTGTTACCTGTAGAGTGTCCACAAACAATTGTGGACGGACGGATGTCCGGACGGACAGGGGCGACGACAATATACGTCCACATGAAAATGTGGGCGTATAAAAAGCAAATTGCAGAAATGTGTTCTTTAGAGAGATAATAATATTTTCTCAAATTTTAAAGTCTGGTTGATATTTTGGCAGAACTTGGTTGACATCTAAGTAGGTCAGATTACGATGTTGTGTTAAAGAATTAATAACTAATTTTAATAAGATTGGGCTTGGTGAAGATACAAGTAAAACAATTTTGATATTTTTATAGAGAGTTTTATTTTATAACATTAATCATCTGACGATTCCTCTTCTGCATCCTGTAACCACTTTATAAATGGAGCCACCTGAAATTAAAGAATACAGAGATTCAAGCATTGAGCAAACAAAGAATTGCACAACCCAAACCAACCATGTCAATATGGTATCACTTAAAATAATATAAACATTTGTATTCCATTTATGCTAGTGCCTGCACAATATTATGTTGGATTAAATTGAAGTGAAATGGGGTTTAAAGTTACCTCTTTTTTATTAAAAAAGAACTATTTTTTATTTAATTGACCTTGATGGAAACACTTGGTCAAAATAAAGGACTTTGCAATGGTTGAATTGCTGTCAAAAAATTATGTATCACTACGCCATAATGTAAACAGGTTCAGTAAAAGTGAAGTCTATAGCAAAGAATTATATTTATTTATTTATGCATGTAAGAAAGGATTCAGTGATAAATAAAATCTCCTACTCATCTTTTTTGATATCAAAAAATATCAACACTCGTCGATAAAGTATGGCTGAGCCTCGCTTTTTTTTACTTTATCAACTTGTGTTGATATTTTTGGATATCAAAAAAGACGAGTAGAAGTCTCTATATATTGTACCTGTTTTCTGACAGCAGTATGTGACGTTATATTATCAGGATGTGGTTCCTTTTTATACCATTTAAATATAACTTGTTCATCTAACATATCTTCATTATAAAAATAATGAATGATTTTAATCAATGCACTTTTAACCAATTTATTTTCTTCTGAGAATCCCTGAAAATAAGAAATATGTACTTTCAATATTACGGGATTAACATCTACTCAACATAATTTGGTCATTTTAGAACTAACACACTGTTATTTATTCCATTAATTTCCTTATGTGCTTGGTGGTTCTTCAGCAGAAGAATGGAAGAAAAGCAGGTGATCATACTCTTTGGGATGTCAATGGTCTCGTATAATTCTGCTCAATTATCTATTGGATTCAATCTATATAAATATATGTACCAACCTCCAGTGCATTTAAACAATCAAGTTGAGCTTCTGGACTTTTAATATAATTCAATAATAAAGGTTTCTGTGCTGCAAGTTGCTGAAATATAAAGATTTGTCTGTTTTATGTACGAGTAACCTTAAAGATATTTTATTTGCCTTAAACAGCTAAATCGCTAATATTTGGGACCTAGATATTGACACAAATGGGTCGCAGCACATATAATAATGTAATATGAATGTATATAAACTGATTTACAGTCAATTGTTCCCGTTTTTACTCTTAATTTCGAATCAGTTAGGTTGCGCGAAATATGCCAGAAGTCTCAATCGAATGGCAATCTTTAGCATCTGGTTATTCCAGTCTAAACCGGTAGTATTCATTGTGCTTGCTCTCCAGATAATATGGCCATCACCGTTTGACATGACTTGTGGAATATGTCTAGCCTTGTTCTTCGAGTTCCTTATTACAAATGGTGCTGAAGGAAACGCATTATGGTACACGATTCGTCTTAAATATTGGATATCAGAAGCCGATGTTTTCCTGGTACGATCATAACATCAAAGTTGATTTAAATTGCCAAAAAATTCGTGTTTTCAATGTCGAAGACTTTGGATGATATTAAGTTAGAGACTAAGCTACTTTAAACTTATGTGAGTTAAAACTGAGATCTTGGAAAACTGGATAATCACATCAACAATTATGATCCAATAATGATTGAAGTGTTGCTGAAAAATGGAAAACAACGATTTTGTCTTAGTTGTTGGTGGTGAGCGATATCAAACACCGCATTTACAGTGTAAGTTGTTTTTGACAGCATACTGGTACAGCAACATCCCAGTACATATCAGCATCAATCATGAGAATAAAATGAAAAGGTAGAAAACTCGGTCTCCTAGGTTTGGATTTTACATATGTAATTTACATTTTCGTCCAATTTACTTTTATAATTACAATTTTTGGCCGATCCACACTGATGATCTGCAGGGGATGCTCCAAAAATGATGTTTAGCTGTTATTATGCATGGTTAGAATAGTATAAATATGGTATTTAGTTGCTTTGATGTATGGATAGAATAGTATAAATATGATATTTAGCTGTTTTTATGCATGGGTAGAATAGTATAAATATGATTTTATGATCATACCAACCAAAGAAAGAGAAACAATTTTGTACTGTTTATACAGATATGAAAAACTTACTGGTTTAAGTATATTTATAACTTGAGTTGCTTCTATATCTTTTGATATTAGTAAAGGTAAATCAATAACTGCCTTGACAACCATTCTATGTACATCATTAATACATATATTATAGGCATGCCTGAAACAACATAATATTTATAATAGTTTGAATGTGGGAGGTGGGGACACCTGTAAACTGAGGTAATATAGTGAGACATTGGTCGGGATAAATCTGTGACAATAAATCGGGGAAGGAAAATTAGTATGGTGTGCTAAGATTTCTTGTCTGACAGATGATCGCTGATGAGAAATTGGGGTGTCGTGCCTCACACTGTAAGTGATAATTAATATCATTGGTGTGGACAGGTTTTACAGACAAACAGGGGTGAGGAATACTGAATATAAAAGTGCTATTTCAATTGCATCTCAATTTATTGTTTCTAGATACATGTAAGTGGGCTACTTTGGCTAGATTAGGGAATGGCACAACCTGCTGTCAGTTTCATAATGTAATATATTCAGCTGGTTATACTTACTTTAATGAGTTAATCTCTAATATAACATTGTCTTTTCCTATATTCTCTTCTTTAGCTCTTTTTAAAGTGTCAATTAGTTCTGAATAAAACACTGTAAAAATAAAATACACTATAATACAATATGTATCTATATACCTTTTCCGTTAAGTTAATATATTGCTTAGTGTGACCTGATCTGGCTAAATGAGACACCTGTCACCGACTTCAAGACTGATGAATTTCTGTTTCAAAAAATGTCAAATTTAGCCAGAACCAGTCACAATTTTGATCAAATGTGTGGTGGCACTGATGACATGACTACTTCTGTAATGACTTTTCTCCAAAATGTTTTTACTATTAATTAAATTTTTAAAATGAAAACAAAGCATATCGTTTCCTTTCCATTTTTTTCTTCTAAACTGAGGACTCCTAGGGATATTTTAGTAACTCATGGAATATTCTATAGAGATATAGAGATATTGTTTATTGATATGTCAATATATTGTATATACTACCACAACACTGAACAATTGTGTATACATAGTCTTACCAAATAGTTGTTCAACTTTATACATTTCAATGGTAAGAACCAACTCTTCATCCACCAGAGTCTGATGTAACTTTTCTATATAAAGCCACTGTCTATCAACACAATATCCAATAAAATTAATGAGGATGAAGAAGGCAACTAGTAAGATAAATAACTTACTAACTACATCATGTTCATCTACATCTCCAAGTTCAATATCTGCTTCATCCACACCATCATCAACATCTAAATCATCATCACTGTCTGTAGTATATATATCATCATAATCTTCATCATCTGATAATATCTTTAATCCCCATGTATCTTGTATTAATCCATCATCTTCCTCATCATCATCACTACCACAAGATGCTCTATATTCAAACGCTTTACTTTTTGAACCAAATATAGGTGTGACTTCTGTAAAACATAACAATATAATTGTAAACAGTATCATCAAATTCTCCCATCTCTCACTGAAATCGAATCTGAATTATTGTCATCCATGCTTTCCATATAAATTACGCAAAGGTAGAGAAATGGAACTTAATGTCCACTAATGACATTTCAGGACTAACATGGTATATTTTTATTCAATAGTTCGCTTTAGAAGTGGGCAGAAACTAAGACTACTCATGAGGTTAGACAGGTTATCCTTTCTGGAACTGAAAAAAAATGGGGTTTAACATCCTGTTCTGCTCCAACTGGGCTAATGAAGACGAGCATACACCATACAGTGTTCTATGAGGGAAATTTTGCCCAGACAACTCCACTACGGCCTACTCTCATATCGAATTCCAAATGCCAAGGGATCTCTGATACACACGCCTTGGTTTTTCATCCCATCCTAACGACTAGACAGCAGTCCTTGTCAGGCCCTCCATCCTGCACCACTAACATGGGGAAACCACACCTGAAAATCCTGACGAACTTTCTGTCAATACTGGCATCGGAGAAGCTACCTCCAGGCTAGCGAGCCATCGTCTTACTTACTCAGCCACCGTGGCTCCCTCTTTCTGGGACAAGGACAACAGTTCTGCCGAAAGTCAAAATAACAAAGTAGAATTTCAATAAAGTTATTCTCACAACCAGAAACTTTAATATTATAATAGCAATGGTTCTGACAAAATATTCGAAAAACAACAATGTGCTAAAATACAGTACCTGGAATTGGTTCCTCTGTATCAGAATCAAATTCATCTTTCTGTGGTTCTGACATTAACAAAACAAGCTGGGGTAGAACTATATCAGGACCAACTTTCACCTAACAGAACATTATGACAAAAATTAGTTAATCATCAATTATATTAGCCAGAAATTTCTGATCTGTAAAACAATGGTAATATTTATTATCTTTAATTCAACTTTCTTTGAATTGCTGTACATGTAAACAGATGATGAGATCCATGTAGAATATTGAAATATGGTGTTATAAGATTTACCAAATGAGAGAAAATGAAAATGAAATGAATTGGGGTTTAACGTCCTACTGTTCTGCTCCTAAACTGGGTTAATGAAGACGGGACCAAATGAGAGAGAAATGGGGTATAATGACCACTCGATAGATTATTTCAACACTAACATGGTTCAATTTTATTTTAATAATTTGCTTGTGTGTAGGGGTCTATAGGACAGGGGGGAAACCAGAAGACAGTGAGAAAACCCATGAGGTTGGGCAGGCGACCCTACTTGTCACGCATAAGCAGGGAAACGAAACCACACCACTTGACTCAATGACAGATCTAATGTTCTAATGTGCCACCAAACCCCCCTTTAACCAAATGATCCTTAGACAAAACAAACAAAGAAATAGAAACCATCCTCCCATAGCTGATTTTTTAAAACTATTATCTGGCAAGAATTTTGTCTTTGGGCGGCTTTATAATGCAAATTATCAGTTATGTTTAAACGAAATAATCCAAGAATTATTTTCACATGTACCTGAAACACTGACTGTTTTAACCAATAAAACAGATTGCTACGACCTGTGAACAATTTCATTGACTTATATTGATCACTGAGTCTTCGAAAATCAATAGAAAATAGTAGGAACTTCAGATGGCAACATCTTCCATTGGAATAATCGAGTTACAAAGTATTAATATACAGTATAGTCTGAAAGTCTGTAATATTGTGCCTTTAATTGAAGAATGTTAAAATATTGTAGACACTAATGAAAAACTTACATCCCAGGCCAATACACTACCAGTATTAACAGTAGTATTTTTATATACAATAACACCAGAAGCTAAGACTGCTGTATCTATCATACAATGATCTTCTACCTTAACACCATCCCATAAATAACCTCCTTTAATCTTTACATTCTCTCCTGTAATAAATCATGTATACTCGTCCTTATTATATTACATAATATTCTTTAACTAATTCATTCAAGGCATTACATTCATGATAAAAACAGCAGAATCAAGTCATCACGTTTAACATACGCTTCCAAATGGGGTGGCGATATTGATGACAACATTATTTTAGTATATTCAGTGCATGCTCACTCCCGAGTTTGAGAATGCACCCCTATCTCCAAGCTACATACACTCGAACCAGGGATTGAAAACACAACCAAAAGTCAGAGGTGACCATCCAGCTAGGACTCGAAGTGTGACACTCTAGACCAATAGGCCATTCCAACCTGCCAATTAAAGTCCCAACATGTCCTTGAATAAACATAGATTTCTGTCTTGACTGTATCAAGAGTACTAACTATTTATCAAAACAGTCATTTTTATTGTCATCAATTCAAAAGTGGGCGAGTAAATGGTGATTTGAAATTATGGATGAATTGTTTATAAAACATCCATTATTTGTTCTTTTCAAATAAGATGAGAACACTAGTCACAGACTATCGATCAAATACCCCATCTTAAATCATCAGTTCCTCCACATGGTAAAAATTAACAGTTACAATGTACCTATTTGTATCATTTTGTTTTTTTAAGCAGACTGTCAACTTTGTTGTAAGATTATTATCAACTATAAGCAAAGTAAACAGGTAATAAAAGAAAGAAGAAAATGTGCAAATCTCTTTGAATATTATTGGAAAGAATAAATCTCAAAGCACTATGGAAACTTTTCAATGAGACTGATATCCTGAAATTAGGAAATTGAGGGCAACATTTCTCAACTCGCCTTTCTTTATTTACATCTCGCACTACTTTTTACAAAGACCAGTCAAGATTAATTTTATCTTCAACTGCAGTCTGAATCCTTAAGAATAATTACAGTAATGCTGTAGACATGGATTTAACAAACAGAATAAAAAAACTTCCACATTCTACTCACCTATAATACAATTTTTACCAATAACCGAATCAATTATAAATGTGTTACTACCCACTACAGTATTTGACCCTATCACAACATTTTCTTCTAATACACATCCTCTGAAAATATAACACCATTTCAAATAAATCATCACGCAAGTCCATTATTTCATCTAGTATAAATAATTTTACAACTGGCACAACGTTGTCTTTACCATTATTTTGAATAAGTGTATGCCAACATCAAAGAATGACGTCACATCTGTATTTTAAATCCGTATATAATAAAACTAGCTACACCAAACAAATGATACTATTTATTTTTAAAATAAACTCACCTTTCTAAAGAGACATTTTCACTAAGGTAAATATTATGTCGACCATAAGAAATTCTCTGCTTGTCTGTAGATATAAAATTCTGATCTGGTACCATGGGGAATGTCCATCGTCTTATGATGTCTTTACTGAAAAATGAAAGTAAAAAATAAAAAAGTTTATCATCACTAGCCAGCATCTAACTATTCTAACAAGCTTTATTTTATAACAATAAATTTAGTTATAGAACATGGTTCATTACCAATAAGCTGAGGACATTAAATTGTAACAAATATATTTTCAATTAATCTTAATTTTCTGTGTTACAAATCTCTGGACGTATAATGATGGCTTACCTCACAGCATCGTACATCTGTAAATTAGATACTCTAGCTGCATATTCATCTTTTACAACATGTAAATGTATTGTATTACCTAAAATCTATAAAAAAAAAAAGAGAGATATTTATTATCTCTAAAGGGAAGTAACTCTGACAATGTTCCTTACAGTAATATTATCTCCCCTTAGACCACAAATGGCAAAATTAATACTTTTCAATTCATATTTTATTTGATTTATCAATACAAGCCAGGGAATTCTAAATGCTATACGATTTATTTAATTTGCGCTTATTAGAACTAAAGGAAAGTAACTCTTGACAATGTATACTTCTAGAATTTTGTTGAGGATTTATTCTGCTCCCATTTAATAAAATTGAAAGAAGTTTATTTAGTCTTTGTGTGTATGACAGGCGTGAAACAGAGTAGAAACACATTACAAAGTAGTATACCAATTTTTGGATATGGTGGTCATTTAGGGCAGAGATCTATTCTCAAGGAATGAAGTAAATGGATCTCTGTGTGCAGAATGTGTTCCCTACAGTAATATAACAGTGATTGTATATTTTACACAAACCTCTTCATTAATAAGTATTCCTTTAACAAAATCTTCTCTAGTTTGATAATCAAAGTTATCTGTGTATAGCTGAGGTACAAGAGGTGTACATATAGATATCTGACAATCCATTAAATCATAACGTATCTCGACATCTGTATTATCTAACAAGATTTCCTACAATAAAAAAAACCCAAAAAACAAACTGAAATCAAATATTATTTATTAAAAACTGTATCAAATTACTCGACGAAACCTCACTAACAAAAAAAAAACAAATATAACATTCACTAGTGTCAATTATCTGAGAATGGACAAGATGGAAGCTTGATGACTCATATGATGCCTTCCACTACATATAGGAATTTACATTGGTAATGATTTTTCATTAAAAAAAAAACCCCACAGAAATCTATAAATGTGGCTATTAGTTGGTCTAGTTGGTAAATAAATCTTGATGTGAACAACTGAATGTATCACCAATAAGAACGTCCACATTAGCTAATGAAATATATGAAATGTTTCTTACCACTGGCATGTCTAGTCGTTTTTCTTGTCTAGTTTTTTGATAGTGAAGAACTTGTTCTGATTGTGTAGATACAGCCAGAACTACATCATCTTCAGGACACCTGGTCGAATGACCAATGGGAGCTTTTTTATAAATCATCGTCATCAGAGATGATTTATCTTTTTCTCTTCTCTTCCTAAAAACACAAACAGTGAAAATTAATTTAATAATAGCAGGAGAAACTTTTATTGTCTAACTAAGAGAATATAATGTTGATCATAAAATTGATGATGCTGATAGTGAAGTGCTTCAACAATAAAAGAGACATGGTGCTATTAAAAATTCAAAGTTTCTGTTATTAATTGCACCAATATCAAATTAAACTAGGCATTATTTTCATTCTGAGTCTTCAGTTAGTCACTCTATTAACATCTAAAACCATGTTTTGGAAAAGTGTATTCTGGGTCCATGACGATAGAATTGTATAACATTTGACCTTGATTAGGCAACTAATCAGATGTTTTAGAATTTTAATAATCTGGCCAGTAACACATATCTTGGTCTACTTACTTGTGTATTGCCATGATATCTTGTACAGCAATGTTTGAAACAACATCGCCAGTAATCAAGATAAAATCACTTCTGATAAGAGCTTTAGAATCGATTTCACGTAATGCATCTCCCACTGATAAACAACCATCTGATAACACAGGTGTTACTGTCATCGTAGAACTTGCTTCGCTCCATTTTGAATTTCTGCAATATAAAAGTGAAATTCATGACTATTATACATATTTTATGTGTATAAACATGAATAAATTTTTTAAAGTTGGAAAGAAAACATACACGTATGGCAAATTAACAGTCCAACTAGTGTTGTGGGGTTAATAAAATATCTGACAGCAGTGTTTCCAACTGTTTATAAAATAACTGACAGCAGTGTTTCCAACTATTATACATATTTTATGTGTATAAACATGAACAAATTTTTTAAAGTTGGAAACAAAATATACACGTACGTATGGCAAATCAACAGTCCAACTAGTGTTGTGGGGTTAATAAAATATCTGACAGCAGTGTTTCCAACTGTTTATAAAATAACTGACAGTAGTGTTTCAAACTTTTAGAAAATATCTGCCAACAGTGTTTCTGAATGTTTAGAAAACATCCGACAAGTGTTTCAAATTGTAATATAATCTTTTGTTGTGTGTGGTGATGTCATCCTTCACTTACTAATAATTAATTAGCAACTATCAAGTCAGAAAACATCAAAGTTGAATGGTTTAATTTATCTTTTAAATTTTTTGACTTTGTACAGAAACAGCATATGGTGTTTACCTACTTTAAATGAGTTCTGATTTGGTCTGCTAGATGACAACAGACAACAAAAACTTCTTGTATACCAGCAGCTGCCAGGAAATTCAAAGTATAATCTATCACTGGTACATTGACTAGAGGTAACAATGCCTGAAAAATTATAAATTAGGGAAATAGCAATTAATAAATTTGACACATGTACAAAAAATTCACAAATAATAGTGGGGTTTTGGGTACCGGTACCTAAATTCAGGAATTACAAGAAAATATTATAAACTGTCAAGATTATTTTCAGTAGCCTAGTCAGAAGAGTTTATTGCTAATAATAGTTTATTTCTAGATCCATTATTTCCATATTACCCTTGGTTTTTTCTGTGTTAAAGGACCAAATCTAATATTAAAGCTATCGGCTATAACAACAGCTTGTAAAACATCTTCTTGTTTCAAATCTTCCCCACGCTGACTTGTTTTTGTTTTAGGAGCCATCTTCGAGCTTGCTTTCTGACGAAATAGTCTGATTACTAATGATATAGGGGTGTGTGACCATTACAATATGTAATATGTAGCCTACAGGTACAGTTTATGTCCTTCTGGATATAAAGGATCGTATTTTTTTTTTAAAAAAAAAAGAAGTATGTTCCTTATATTGCATTAGAACGGATGCTGTTATAAGTTTGAGAATTTATCGACTAAATTTATTTCACCCTTTTTACGAAATGGTACAGGCCTGCCCAAGCTACCGGGAGGATAACTCTTCTTACAATTCCGGTAATGGGAAAGTGTGACGTTTTCATTCTGACAAGTGGTTCCTGATAATTCTGGTGCCAAATATTGGTAAGTTTTGACTATCAGGCAGAATATGAAAAAAACTGTAATAGATGACGTAGATATAATTCAACTACTATTAAACTTCTGTTTTTTTTTATTTTGATGTCAGATCATAGATCTATTTGTCAGAGATCTCGACTCTACTTCCAGTTTTCATTCATTACTGTTGCCAAGCTCAGTAATAATAACACTCATATACGATTTTATTCGATAAACAGTCTTTCAATGGGCCTAGTGAACAGCATGCAAACAATATGAAAGCAATACATTAAATAACAAATTAATAAATGAACTGTAATGTTTCACTGGATAATTTAAACTAAAGGGGGTAAACCTCTACTAGTACTAACAACTAAATATTTTCCATAATATTCGAAATTAAAAACACAAATAAAAATTCAATATTGATCCATTTCAATCAATATTGATATTATTTTACCGTGAAAATATGGGATCCTAATATCCAATATTGTAGACACAATGAATATTTTATAATCAGTACACAAGTCTTAATTGCATTCTAATTCTATGGTTTCGGATGTCATTTGTAATGAACAAAGAAAAAAACATCCTACAAGACTACAAGACATGGCTGATTCACAAACGACAAAATGATAATAAAAAAAAACGTGCAGAATGGACTAAGCTGGCATAAATAAATGACTGTTGTTCAATTTGGACTGTTCAGATATTTCACTGAACATAATTGGTTAGAAATTACAATATCTTTTTTTAAAAAATTAAATAGAAATAACTTTATACACATTCACATTACATTAATATGTGCTTTTAGACCCATTTTCGACTACTTTAGTGTTCCAAAGAATGGAGCCACATTCCCTTTAAATATTTATTATATTGATATTATAAATATAGATTGTGAATGCAGTACATATTCAGATAACATTTATATTGTTATAGTTATAATGTGTTTCAATAGATATTTTACCTCATGGTCAATATAACAAATAGTTTTATATAATTCTGTAAATTTATAGAGTGAGTACCAGTAGCCTATGTCTAATGAATAAATTAATATTGGGATAGATAATTAGATACGGTTCCCAGTAAAACAGAAAGGGATTGCATGATCTACATTCAGCCTTCAATATAGAACCCTGACCCTGTGTGAACTTAATCTTAGGGTTTTAATGCCAATTTTATGAATGAATGAATGAAATAGGGTTAAATGTCCTACTTTTCTGCACGTACCAGGCTAATGAAGACAGGCATAGACTAAACATGTAAGGTGTGCTTTGAATCTTTTTATCCAACCCGAATGACTGGGCACTTTCCATGCCACGCCCTCTGGAAAATCGCAAGAAACTTCCCAGTAAGTGAACCAGCACCCTTCTCACTGAGCCACCACAGCTCCCTGTAATTTTATGATTCCTGTCATTAATATACTAAACAGCAAAAAAAGCGTCATTACGATTTCAAAATCAGAGAGGCACTTTAATCAAATCATTCTAGAAAACGACTTACTAAATGGATCAAAGCAATTTTTTGTGAACAGTATATGCCGACACATTAGTGATTAATTCATCAAAATTCCAAGACATTACGAGAAGGTTTAGAGTCTGTACACAGTCTATACATCAGTGTCTGGTGTGTCCACTGCGAGTGTCATTAACAGCAGCGCAGCGCAGGGATTCTGCACGTGCTGTCGCACAACATGGCGGTCTTGTTGCCTTGGTGTAACCCTTGGTCTACCAGTTCGGGGCGGTCATCCGTGGTGTTGGTGACCCAAAAGCATTGCTGAAGCCTGTAGATGATCCGAACATTGACCTGGGAGTGATTGGCAACGACTTGGGCAGTGTGGCCAATGTCGAGTCTTCCAAGCGCCTGGTTCCTCTAAGCTGTCGTGGGCGTGGCATGCGGCTGACGTTGTCGTGTGAATGATTGAACCAGGTATGGGGGTGCATTTTATAGGGCTGGTCCCGGTGAACATCACATGCAGCATGAGTTATATGAAAATCATGTAGAACACATTACCATCTCAGAAGTCAGGTTGCATTTTTGAAAACATTCCCTGGGTTCAATTCTGTGTTTGGGAAGGAGCCTTTTTGCTCAGGGGAAGTTGGAGACTTGAAGACATTAAAAGTAAAAACATTTAGCCAGTTTTATGCAATTCAGTGTAACATACGAACCTGACCTTTCTTTTGATGCTTAAAGTACTTATAGAAAATGTTCTGCGGGTTTATTTATTTTTTGTTTCAGTAATCCAGAGGTTTTAAGTTTGCCTTTTTGATTGGTCACATGCGTCACAGAAATGGTCATGGTTCACTGTATTAAAAGTGATTGTCCATATGACAGTTCCTTTTTATTATGCCTGAAAACCTACTTTCTTTAACAATTAAGGGCTGAGTTTTTTTTATTCTCTTTTATTTTGACCTATATTTCTATTATTCACGGATGTTGATGAACTTAGATCCCATGCAATGACACTCCTTTAAAGGATTGGCTACGCTACATATTATCTCTAATTGCTTCAATTGTTATACCAAAGTGTGGGCTAATTCCAATACTTAGGATATTCAGATAATCTCTGATTTAAGGTGTTATCAATAATAGGTGTGGTTATATCCAGCTGTCTAATTAAATACAATGATCTGTTGATCTGGAGAGTTTGTTAAGTGAATGGGTGATTAATGTCTTTCTTGTTTCAACTTGTGAACATTATGAATGCATTCATTATATCAATGGATTGTTCTGAAATTCTCCTGAACTTCGTTTAAGTAAGACTTTGAAAGAGTGTGTTAGTAAGAGCAGTCTTATTGTAGAGATCCATCTTCATTAGCCCAGTCGGAGCAGAACAGTAGGACGTTAAACCCCAGTTCATTTCACTTATTTTAGAGCTTGTACTATTATACAGTCAAGTATTATATTTTGTGTTTGTTCTACTTTTAAAAAAGAAAAAGACTCTTTGAAGAACTTTTCAACAGCTGGTTTTGTTAGGTGAACATTCAGGAGAATAAGGTTTGGATTTATATTTTATCAAAGGTTGAAGAAAAATAGACGTTTTGTCACTAAATTCTAGACTAGTATAGTTTTATGTTGAGGCTGAATACTGAAATACTGAAACATTTGCCGTACATAGACATACAATTAGCATAGTAAGGTTCCATTTAGTGCAGTCACATTATCACTTTTTGCATTTGAATAATTTGATACCAAATTTTGTCTGAATGGTTGGATGGGTTCATTTACAAAATTTAATTATCTTGATATTGTATAACGGGTTAATGTGATGTGTGATCATTGGAAATACAAAAGTATCAGAGACATTTGTTAGTTACATGTAGTTTGTAGTTATGTCGATTCTCAAGTGAGAAGTGGTATCAGATGTTTACTGTTTTAAACAAGTGGAAAAATTCAGAACTCAAAAACTGATCTTTCGTCCAGTGTGGAGAAATAAATTGATATAAATATAATCTCTGTGGGTTTGGGTTTGATATTTTGTCTTCATTTAATTGATTCTAAATGAGTTAAGTTCCAAATTTTGATGGTGTATATTTTTAATTAAATACATCGACTTTTCTAATACAGAAAGCATGTCTTGTATAAAACGCCGATATTGTAAAATGTGTAACGCAATGCATAAATGAGGTTTGCAAAAAACAAGCTTCTATGCAATTTATATATCATGGTATAAATGCTGCAGGTGCTAGATTTCAGGGTTGGTAGAGTCATGTCCTGGAAATATTTTTTTTGATTTTTGGCATTATTAAAGTATTTTCAGAGAGTATTCAAAATTAATCTGGGAGAGTTGTGAAGGGGGAAGCGGAGTGAGATTTTGAGTAATGTCAAAAGATAGGGAGGGTGCTCTAAGTACTTACGGAAAAAGAGACTTAGATCCCCAAAAAATATTTTAATATTTTGTCTTTACTTGGTGCATTTGTAAGATAGGCATAATGCTCCAGTCATGCCTAGGTCCCCCTCCTTTACTTCAAGATATGACAATTCTTTTTATCTATTTGTTTTACAAGTATTTTTTATTGTCTTTGTGTAATGAAATCCTTTATAAACACATTAAAGTAGAGCTTATAAAATCTATAAATAACTTAAAGGAAGGAAGATATTTTTATAGAAAAAAATATCAATACGTGCACACACACATCTTAAGAAATAACTGACTGGCAAGATTGTAATCTTGACAATAGTGTAGATTTTTAAGGATGATATGTTTTGAATGAAATCCGTAGAAGTTTCACTTACACGTACACACCTATAGAACATACAATGGTATAAAGATCTAATTTACAATAATATCATCAATATAGTATATTGAAACTTGGCTGACCCCCCATATATTTCTATAGAAGGTTTGACTAGATTCAGCTCCACCTTAAAAATATAACCTACCTAAATAAAACTGTGTTTAATATCTTAACCACACCCTAACTAAATACATAAAAGAAAAATTAAATCGAGTGTGTTGTGAAAATATTTTGAGAAATTAGAGCTTTATTCATGGTGTTGTCATCTTACTGGGTATACATTCGTTATATGTGCTGGAGACCTACATTCATAAATTTAATTTCTTCTTTAATTCTTTAATTAATTTGAGGACTAATATCTTAAAGCATGTCTGATTTAGAAATCCAACAAACAGATGATGGAAACCCGCCTGTTCAGAAAATGTAAGTTGTTGTTATGAATACATTGTTAATTTACAATACAACTGAATTCTAACATAAGATACATTACATTTAATGATGTGAAAGTGTGAAAATGCTGTGATTGAAAGATGTTGATTTACTAGTGGTTAGAAATGTGTTTATTTACTAGAAATGTGTATTTGTTTATCTGTTTTTGACCATCTTATTGAATAGTATACCAGTAGTTCC